CAACAGAATCTTTGCTGAAATTAGTAAGGAAAAATGAGCATCTTGTGGATATGAAGGTGAAATTCCTATAAGTAGGGAGATACTTTTATTTTATTGGCATGATTGGTTGTAAACTATATATTGCGTATTTCAGAAGAATGTTAAAAGTTTTCAGGAAGACAAAGAATTATGTGTTTGTTATGTGTGTTTTTGTGCTGGATACCCCTTAAAGTTAATGAGTATCAAAAGTTCCACTTCAAGCATTTAAGCTATCTTATAATTTGACTTTGTGCAACATAAATACATGTTTTTGTTTTGTCTATACGCTGCTGGAATGTATTACCTTCCTTCCCCTAGGCCTGAATAATAAATTAACGAACTGTATATCTGACATGCAACAATCAGCTTGTGCTGACACAATTAAGACTTTGTGTGAGGTCTATGATTAGAATGTTTTTTTGGGTCACCATGAAGAGAAGCAAAGAGTAGAAGGCATGAAAGTAGCAATCAAAACAAACAAACAAAGACTGGAAATGTACCTTTGACCATTCATAAGCTTAAATTCCCATCTTTTCCTGAGCAACAAGTGACTTTTTGAAAATAAAGATAGACTTGCCTGTTGTTATCATCAAAGCTTTAAAATCAAGGATGGATAAGTAGAACATTTCAGTGATCAATCCAAAGAGGCAAAATTCAAGCCAATACTGATAGCTTTAAAGCTTGTTTACATCAACAGAAACAAACTAAAAAAAAAAAAAAAAAAATGCCTGGCTAGTTTTGAAGTTACTGCTGAAATTGTTTTTGAAGAAAGCCACACATTTAAACTGGAAAAACACTTTAGCTATTACAGATTCAGGAATAGGTTTTAAAAAAATTATAGTTCTATTGCTTTCTTTACAAAACTGCAGAATGTGAAGACCAGGGAAACAGTAAATATGAGAATCTTGCCTCTTCATTCAAATGACTGCCTAAAAGCGGATCTTGCTGCTGAATATTGTCATTTTTAATATTACAGCTCAGAAAAAAATCACTGTAAATGACCAACATTTTTTCAAGATGAGGACTTACGAACTGCATTACATCTTCCTTAGTATTGAAATGACATAATGGATTTCCTTATAAATTATAGTTATAAATTGAACTACAAATGCAATAACTTCTAAACTAAGCTAGGAATGTATGTATGTGTGTATTAAATCTAGTGCTGTTTGAACCATTCTTGTTTCCTTTCTCTTGGACAATAAACCAAAATTTCACTGGATTACTGACTTGCATTTAGCTACCTGGAAAAAGAGGTATTTAGTTGAAGATAGTAACAAAAGGTAGGTAACAATAGAAATAGCTTCATTTGAGGATTCACCCCAATGATCATAGATAGTTTAGGTGGGGGTGTCTTTCACTTTGAAGGTCCACTCTCCTTTCATGGCAAAGAGGAACTTTGATGGTGGATTTATACCGAAATCTTAACTTTCAGCTGCCTAAGTGAGATGAAACCCACTTTGTATGTGCAGAATCAGCTCTCCACTTTCTATGAGGGAAGTGTAGCTTAACTAAAGATGTATCCTAGTATTAGCATCTTCTTGCATCCTGAAAGCAAGTCTTTAATAATTGTCACACTGTGACCTACACGCTGAAGCTTTGGTTTTGTTTGGAACTACCTGATTCAACAATGATTAAAGAATTATACAATAAATTTTACTTAAAAGGTCCATGGTAGGCCACATCAGTCCACCATTTTTTAGTGGAAGATAATAAAGAACACTTGATTTTTCAGAAGATACTAGAATTCTACATAATTTATAAGATTATAGTCTTTGATTAAAAAGAAGGATCAAGAATTTAGTGAGGCTCCTGAAGCAAAATGAAGATAATACATGTTGTGACAAACACATGGAAAAAATAATGAAAGAATTTGCACTTTACAATTCTATTTTGATGCAAGGATTAGTGATGTTCAGAGTTCTTTCTTCTTGCCTTTCCTGTAAAAGGTGACAATATAATTACAAGGTGTATGTTATGTATGCTATAGATACATATATAAGTATATATTTTCATGTGTAAGCTACCTGAGTTCTTTGAGTACCTGCATGTGCATATATTATCCACTCATACAGGGCTGCTACCAATTCTGGACTACAGTTAAGTATGCTACAGACAAAGTAAAGAAAAATCCTTCCCACAAAAAGCTCAATGCAAAGTCTGAGTAGACAGGCACATTGAAACTGAAAAAAATCACAGGAGGTGATAAACAGCTAAAAAATGATTGAAAATAGTAATTCAAAAATGTTATTTTATATCTGTGTTGTTTGCAGACATCTTGTAGAGATTGCTTTACAGTAAACTATATATTCACATCAGAAGCTTGCTTAGCTCCTGCTGAAGTCTGTGGGAAGTCCGTGTAAATAATGGGTATAGCAACAGTGTTTATCAGCACACTAATGCTATGGGGTATCCAGAGGCTTTCAAATTTATCAGAAGATTTAGGAATGTCACAGAGAGAACCTGTCTTCATAGGAAAGCTTTAAAGGAGTCAGGAGGAAAGGAGGGAGTAAACTTAACTCAAGTCTGTTACACACTGAAAATATTGACTAGGAGAAAATATGGCAATTAACCAAAAACAAGAATGAGAAAGAAAACAGGAAGACTTTCAATGTGCAAAATAATTGCATAAGTCTCTCAGAAGAATGCTAAAAGACTGAGATAACACTCATTCTCTGAAATGTATTTATTGATTACAAAAAAACCCAAACCCAACATGAAGGACATACTCTGAATATACTGCTTCCAAGTCCCAATCTGGTATTTCTTGCTGTCAGTACTTTTATAAATTGAAATTCAATGACTGGCAATACACTTTTATTTCTAGACCGGTTATTTATATATTGGTACTGAACATGGAACAAGGCGCTGTATTTTTGATTATTCATTTTACATAATTTTATGCTTAACATATAATGTAACTGTTTTTTTCTTTTTATATCTGTAGTGTAAACCAAATACTAAATTATTTCACAGCCACAGCTGACTTATGTTGCAATTGTATATTTATGTAAATTTCATTTAACTACTGATCTGTCAACAGACCAAAATATTTCTGTAGCATCCTGCCTTCTGTAAACATAAAAGCACTTACACATCTGACTTTTCAGCATGTGACACGCTTAACAGTAATGCCATTTAATCTTACATTGTCTTTCATTCCATCCTCCCATTTAAACTTGAATAATTCTGATTTTGTGCCATTTTGCCATTTTCTGTGTCTGTGGCACGCACTTTCCTATTTGAGAAGCAGTCTATGAAAACATTATTAGTCTTCTGAACACCGGTTTTTAAAAATAATTACTGTAAAATGCTGGTGTGTAAGAGGGAGCTATAGAAGTGGGAAAATGATGTCATTACTCAGAGTAATCTACCAAAACAAGATTTTAGAGAGAAGTGTTCCAAGACTTCAAGCAGTGTAGTTGGACAGAGCTCTCTTATGTGAAGACACCACTAAACTCACTGGTTTGGGTTTTATTAGTACTCACTTGCAGTCTCCTGTCTTTTCAGAATTACTGCCTCCTGGTCAGAGTGGCACCTGGAGCTGAGTCAATCATAGTTCAATTTATTGGATTGCAGTGTGTCTATCGTGTTGTGTAATAATTAAGAAAAAGAAACAAGTTGGATTGCTTTAATAATCATAGGGTATAACCCTAATTAAGCCAAGTAAAACTCCCATTTCTTCTACATCTGAGAAGAGGGAAAGTACTGCAAAGAAATAGTCCCAGAAAGAAAGAAATGTTTTGATTTTCAAGCTTTCCCTGTCACACTGGGTTAAATCTCATTCACTCAAATGAACTGGAAGTGATAACAGAAAATCCCAAGAAATGCATTTTTTTTCCTCAGGGAATTTGCTCTTATCATTTTAGGCAAGAGGCCAAATCACCAAGCATGGACAAGCAGCAAATTAGGCATGTGGAGGCTGGAGGACAGGAATATTGTGGGCAAGTTCCACAAAGCCACTCTGCCGATGTAGCCCCATGCAAGTCCAAGGCTACTCAGATGGGGGCAAATTTAAGAGTTAAATGCAAAGTGAACTTCTACATTTGGTCAGCTGAAGTGCTCTCTAGGCTCCACTGATTGCATGGGTTAGACAGCTACAGTAGCCATAATGGAATCTTAGACACCTAAAGTTAGGTGTTTCAGTGTAAAAGGAGGTACCAGCTGCTAATGCCAGGTTAACAGCATATTCATTAAAATTCATAAATAAAATTTAAAAAAAAATCTGAATTTTTACACTTTCTGGCATTTCTGTATAATTATGAAGACTTTAAAATACGGACCTATATCGGTATTTTCTCGCACTTGGTATTCTCTCACGACTCACTGGAATTCAGGTTATTTGGTACTTCAGAAAAAGCAACAAATATCTTGAGACTGGTTAGTGAAAAATCAGTGGAAAACAATGGTGTTTATGCTTGTGTGGGTGCAGGTGTGGCAAGAGAGCTATAGATTTATCCTATCATCAAGTTCTTTTAACTTAGTTGATGTTCAATCATCTTTCCTCAGTCCATCTACGTTCAGGGCATATTTGGAGGCATGATTCTTCCCTTCAGAAGCCTTGGTGATATTCAGAGCTTACAGACGTTTACATAATGTCTGTGTGATGAAAACAGATATGCAGATCTGAAAGTTATGTTATCCTAGGACAGTCTGGAAATGTAATGCAGATCACTAATCTTTACGCTTATTGTTAATACACGCTTATTGTGTGTACAAAAACTAAAACTGATAAACAAATTTCATATAATATTCCTATTCAGCTGTATTAGTAACAATATTAAAGCTACAGCTGAAATGGGTGTATTTTTCTGCTACTTAATCCAAAGATCTTTCTTCATGTAATTTAGACTAGTGTATTGTCTTGTACAATAATAAAGGATTTTTTTCAATGTGGTAGTCCTATCAGAATTATAGTTATTATTCATACAGCCATTGATATGTAATTTATATTTGGTCCCTTCTTGTTTTCCAGGTCTCCAAACAAGGACATGGCTTCAAATGAAAGAGAGATTGTGGTTTGGGTTTGCCAGGAAGAGAAGATTGTATGTGGCCTGACAAAGCGCACAACTTGTGCAGAAGTGATTCAAGCACTGCTTGAGGAACATCAGGCAACATTTGGAGAGAAAAAGGTCCTTTTTGGAAAATCGAGTGACTACTGCATTGTGGAAAAATGGAGAGGCTCCGAGCGAGTACTTCCTCCCTTGACAAAGATTCTGAGACTTTGGAAGGCCTGGGGGGAAGAGCAGTCGAATTTGCATTTTGTATTGGTAAAGTCAGATGCTTTTCTCTCATTTCCCTTATGGAAGACAGCTGAAGCTAAGGTAGTACAAAATGTAGAAAAACAGTGGGAGCTCAGTCCAGCAAATTACATGAAGATGTTGCCAATAGACAAGCAAAAGAAAATTGTGAGGAAGACTTTCCGGAAACTGGCCAAGCTTAAACAGGACAGTGTTCAGCAAGAGAGAGATAATATGGAGACACTGATTCACCTGATCATTTCTCAAGATCATACCATTCATCAACAAGTCCTTAGAATGAAGGAACTAGATATGGAAATTGAAAAATGTGAAGCCAAATTCCATCTAGATCGTGTGGCCAATGATGGAGAAAATTATGTGCAGGACTCCTATTTAATGATCAATCCAAGTGAGGCTGAGCAGCAGGGGAGTACACCAGATGATCAAAAAGAAATGCATGACTATTTGAGCAAAAGTGAGGGAATTTTACAGGTTGAAGAGAGACTGAAGCATCACAAACAATTAATAGAGAAGCTGTGTGCAGAAATTGAAAAAGAGGTACACGGTATATGCACAGAAAAAAATGTAGATGATGTTGATACAGAAGGAGCTGCTAATGCTGAACTGGAAAACTCCAATTTGGAAAGTGTAAAATACGAGCTGGACAAAAGTATGAAAGATGGTCTGAGAATCAACTCATACCTGAGCTGCATTCAGAAAGAACTTACATACAGGGACTCACTGCTTCAAAAGAAGGAAAAAGAATATGAACTTCTTACAGAAGAATTTAATTTGCTACATGTTACAGACAACATTGAAACTAGGCTTCCGTCACATGAAGAGCCATCCAAGGGCAGTGGTATCTCCAGTAACAGCACTGCTGTTCCTGACTTTGTTCACAGAGTGACTCATCTGGACATAAATGACACAGACTCTGACACTGGAATCAGCTCTACACACAGTCAGGACTCTGAAATAACTTCAGGGGACATGGTACTGTTGTCAACATAGTTGAAAACAGTCATGCACTTAAGGAAAGTCATATTGTGGAGGATATTTATAAGAATTAGAAAACATTGTTGTCTTCAGAGTTCAGCCCTTCAAGGTGTTAAAACTGTGGCACCTCTTCAGGAAAGTAAACAGTGTCTATGTGCTTCATAGTATATTTATGCTTAAATGCATGGGCAGTCTCATGGGTTAACTGCTAATGTGCAAGGCTTTGCTAAATCAGAACAGACTGTTTGGGCCTTGTAATATTGATAGTGAAACAGGAGCATTCTGACTGACTTGGACCAAAAGTCTGGAGATATGATATCCGCTAATGTTCGAGTCCAGTTATGAATCTCTCAAACTTTTTAGGAATGTGAAATAGAGATTAGACCAAACTAGATGGAGAGCTTGATTTCTGCTCTGTTACATTAGCTTTATTGAACTGGAGTTTCCCTGCAATGAAGCTGCTGTAAAGGAATGTATAATCAAGCATGTAATCTGTTCAGAAGAGTTGTTACGATATTGTAGGACAAAAAAAATGCAGTTGCATTTATGCAGCAAATTTAGTTTTGAGTTTTCAGGATGGTATTTTCAAAACCACCTAAATCTCTTTTTAAAAATTACCTTACACACTAATGTTTCTAATTTCCATCCTCTTTCAGCAGCATTTAACTGCTTCTAAGATCCTTAAAACCCTCACTTACCTGCTGTTACCCTGTAGCTGCCCCAGTGATGCTTAAGTCCACGCAGCTCCTGCCAGCAGGCATGTCAGAACTGCCTACGTCCTGCTTGTGTGAGACGCTCAAATCCCAAGCTCACACCTATCCCCAGGGGCATTTTCAGCAAGGCTTTCTCCTGCCTATCTCACCACTCAGATCCAGTGTTTTAGGCTGCCTCAGATCATGACTACCAAATAAAGCATAACAGAAGGGACAGGCAGGAACCAGACGTTTTTGGCTCTGGCTAGACACTGTTTCTCAATAGCCAGGCAGTTACCACTTGCACACAGCAGCTAGGTTGACAAATCCTGTCTCATGCTGTTTTGGAGCAGGGGTACGGACCTATAAATCCTACTTCCTTGGTGAGGACTTCGAGCTACAGCTAAAGCTGATCTGCTTTATATAGCTAAATATTGGGCCCCCGGGGAAAAAAAAATAAATAAGGAATGCAAAACCATGAGAATTTTACAACTGTGTGGTTAAGGCAAATGACTTCGCTGAGGATGTAGTAGCTGACCTGAAATCCCTCTCCAGCGCCTTCCTGTGAATCCAAAGTGGAGGTGTATACCTGGGATGTTCTCCTCATTTACTGAACAAGGTTTCTGCCTCTGAGCTAGAGACTGCTAACAGAGAGTACATGAGTAATTCCTGGGTTGCCATATTTGTATTTTGTAGATCAATCTGTTTAATACTTTTCATTAAAGGAATTGAATGGAGAAATAGTTACAACATTTCTAAACAAAGTTGAGCTCTAGCAAAATTCAAACAGACCTTGGAATTAAAAGCCTACAGAAGTAAATGAATGGATGGTACCTAGAAGGTGTAAAGGTAAAATGCTTTCAAATACACTGCTTTCCCTTTCTGTATTTTTCTTCTCTTAAATGTCTGTCAACCATCTGTTTTCTAAAATGACCAAAGTGCTAAGACTGCTGATTAACACATATTTGATGCAGGGAAAAAAAGAAAAAAAAAAGAAAAAAGCAAAGAAAAAACTTTTCCTAAAAAGGCAATTTTTGTGTGGTTTTTTTTTTTAAAGTTTTTTTAATCCTGGATATTAGAAATAGTTTCTGTTCCAGGGAAGTGTGCTAGTTGCCTTAATATATTTTGTATTGTGTTTTTGTCTTACAATGTTATTTGAGTACTTTGATAATAATATGTCATGTTTAGACTCATCAGCTCCTGATGGAAACACAAGCTATGTATCAAATATATTATCTTTGTAATAATTTATTAACGCAACTCAGCATCTTTTGAGCTCTGTGGCATCACTCTGACAAGTAGTAAGCACAGAGCTCTGAATGTTGAGAGTAGGCTAATGTATTCTGTGAGTTTTTGTGAATTTAACTAACAGTTATCTCTAATGAGTCACTTTTTTATATATAAATACTTAGGGAATAAAGGATTCAAGCAGAATAATATTCACAGCTGTGCAGGCTGGTACAAGACCTGTGGGAGAACAAATTTCCACTCATACTCTATCAGATTTATTTCACTCATAGGATCTTGTACTCGTTCTCAGAACTGATCTTTATCCACACTATGTGGTTGATTGTACATCCCCTGCAACATGTAGATCTTAAGAATGTTACTGTGTTTTAAGAAGAAAATAGGAAAAATAGGCTGGGAGAAACTATTTCTTAAAAAATAAAATAATATTAAAAAAATCAGTGCTTTGAAACTTATACTTTGATATCCCAGACTTGTTTCTTTGGGTATTTAGATGAATATACAAGATCATTACAGACTGTGTGCACTCTGCTGTTTATATGCCTCTGCACTTTCATGGACTTGTTTGACCTGGATTTAGAATGCTAAAATTATACTTTACAAACCTTTATACTCCTCACTTAACCCTTCTTCACTTCCTTCAACTATCTATAATTTTTTTTTTTTTTAATTCCTATAAGGAAATGCACAATCACACAATTTGGCTCATTTTCTGTCATTCTCTTAAGTCAGTTCCCTTTCCATCTTCACTTTTTTTTATTTTATAAATTTTTCCATGGACCATGTTATACTTACAGACAAAGAGGAAGATCAAAAACATCCTGCATAAGAGGAGAAGAAAAATTATATGCAGGGTGTGGAAATATAAAATGTCAAAGTGAAATGAAAGGAAATTGAATCCTTTACACTCATTTGTACAAAGACTTTTGATAGGCAATTATTTCTTCAGAATTAGAGGAATATTGTGTTGAGCAGGTGCCAGACTCAGCCTGTATCATGACTGTTCTGAGGTGGGATAGGTTATTCTCCAATATGAATCTAGGAAGAGTTCTTCAGTGACGGTTTTCTGGGCTGACAGTACTGAAATGGACTTCCCTAATACAATGAGGGCTTTTTGGATCCTACATACTTAAATAGATTCACATATATATTAATAATTAATATAACTCCTACAGTTTCCAGAGAACATAGTGTATACCCCAATCTCATGTTTCTGCCTGACTTTATTATGTACTTTTACAAATTTGATGAAAGCGGATGAGTCAGTTTAATTACCTGCTTCAGTTCCTTGATGACTCTTTCAAATAAAAAACATAATTATAATTTGGTTATATATAAATTTACAGTATTTACCATCCATTTATGTTCTTTAAAATTACCTTGTAATTACAGAATTATTGTTTGGATTTTTTTTCCCCCCTGCAAAACTGAGCAATTCCCAAGAACTTTTATCACTTTGAACTTACGGATAATATATCTGTCTTCAGATTGTGCATTTAGGGATTGTTCTGTTGGCTGTCTTGTTCTCCATACATGCATACATATTGCTAATACAGGGTATTTGATTATGTGACACTGACAGATGGAAATTCACACAGATAAGAGGTTCATCTTATGGCTTTAGGCTGCTAAGATTAATAGGCTTTACATTTCTCTACATGCCTAGAGTAATCATTTGTTAGTTTCCCCATGCTTCCAACTGTGTAAAGACGTAAACAGGTGTCATTTAAAAATGTGAAAATCATTATTACAAAATCATGACATTTCTATTTCTGATTGCCCAACTGTGTTCATCTCTTTGGATGAGGATTTACATTCATGAACCTAATTCAGCACAGTACTGATGTATCTAACATTAAGCAAATAGTAATTTGAATCATTTTGTGTGTGTGTGACTGTATTGGTTTTGTATGGCAAGGTTTTGGTAGCTGGGGTGCTACAGGACTGGCTTCTATGAGAAGCTGCTAGAAGCTTTCCCTCATGTTCAGCAGAGGCAATGCCAGCCAGCTCCAAGACGGAGCTTCCACTGGCGAAGTCGAGCCCATTAGGTGGCGGTGGTGGTAGCGCCTCTGGGATAACATTTAAGAAGGGAGAAAACCACCCTGAACAACAGCAATTGCAGCCAGCAGAGAGGAGTGAGAACATGCGAAATAACTGCAGACACCAAGGTCAGTGAAGAAAGAGAAAGTGCTCCAGGCCCCAGAGCAGAGACCTTCCTGCAGCCCGTGGTGAAGATGATGGTGAGGCAGGCTGTGCTGCAGTCCATGGAGGTGACAGGGGTGTAGATGTCCACCTGCAGCCCATGGAGGACCCCACGCCAGAGCAGATGGATCCCCAAAGGAGGCTGTGACCCAGTGGGAAGCCTGTGCTAGAGCAGGCTCCTGGCAGGACCTGCGAACCCGTGCAGAGAGGAGCTCATGCCGGAGCCAGTTTGCAGGCAGGATTTGTGACCCCGTGGGGGACTCGCGCTGTAGCAGTCTGTTCCTGACGGACTGCACCCCGTGAAAAGTACCCATGCTGGAGAAGTTCATGAAGAACTGTAGCCTCTGGGAAGAACTCACATTGGAGAAGTTCATGAAGGACTGTCTGCTATGAGAGGGATCCCATGCTGGGAGCAGGGGAAGAGTGTGAGGAGTCCTCCCTTTGAGGAGGAAGGAGCCGCAGAGATAACGAATGATGAACTGATTGCAACCCCCATTCCCCATCTCCCTGTATCACTGCAGGGAGGAGGTAGAAAGATCAGGAGTGAAGTTAAGCCTGGGAAGCAGGAAGAGGTGGGAGAAGGTGTTTTAAGATTTTATTTCTCATTACCCTACTCTGATTTGAATTAATTTAATTCATTTAATTTCCCCAAGTCAAGCCTGTCTGACCCATGACAGTAACAGGTGAGCGATGTCCTTCTCCTTATCTCAACCCACAAGCTTTTTGTTATATTTCCTCTCCCCTGACAGCCAGCTGAGGAGTGGCGTGATAGACTGGTTTAGTGGGTACCTGACATCCAGCCAGATTCAACCCACCACAGTGATGCATATTTTCTTTAATACCATGTGAGTATTCCGGCTATATTCTTAGTAT